TGTTGTTGTTGTCGAAACCGTGTTGTATTTATGTATTGTATACTGGCACAATGAAGTGACTTTTCTTCAACACTAGGCAAGTTTCAATCTTTATTCAGTTAGAACGTTTTGCTATACATCTACGTTTCGGGCATTTGCCCCTCTTCAGCCAACTAAATATATATAAAATATTATATGGATACAACCGAACACAAATAAAAAACTAAAAAACGTACAAAAAATTTTTGGTGAAACATACCTCACTTCGATACAAACACCAAATATACATTTGCCATGTGATTGATGGACATCCATCAATCACATGGCAAATGATTAATAATCAGTTAAAGAAAATGAATGTCGAACTTTACGTTATAGATTTACTTGAATTTGCCTATAAGAGTAATTATTTTGAAATAAATAATAAATATTACACACAAGAAGACGGCATTAGTATGGGGTCGGTTATGGGCCCGAAACTAGCAGAATTGATAATGATTGAGATTGACACGAAAATAAAAGACATTCTAGGTATACATTACTATAGAAGGTATGTAGATGATATCCTAATAGTATATAATGAAGTTGAAATAAAAACAGACGAAATAGATAAATTAATAAATAATATTCATNTTTTATAGATACGAGACCGAAAAGAAATTTAAAAAACAAGTGAAAGCTCGTACTTTGTGGTTTGCCATTTTACAGTCTCAGATTGAAACTGGAACTCCTTACATGGTGTATAAAGATGCATGTAATCGTAAATCTAATCAACAAAACCTCGGTACAATTAAATGCAGCAATTTATGTACTGAAATAGTTGAATATAGCTCACCAGACGAAGTAAGCAGAATTTGTTGTTGTATTTTTCTTTACATAAATATTAAATTATATAATTTATTTTAAATAGGTAGCAGTATGCAATTTAGCTTCAATAGCATTGTGTCAGTTTGTTAGTAATGGAAAATTTGATTTTGAGAAACTTAATGAAGTAACAAAAGTGATTACGAGGAATTTAGATAAAATAATAGATACAAATTATTACCCTATTCCTCAGGTAATTTCCATTTTGAAAACTATTCAATTTTTATATTTTAATTGTTAAAGTTTCTGTGAAATTTTATATTGTTTTTAGGCAGAATTATCTAATCAGAGGCATCGTCCCATAGGAATTGGTGTTCAAGGCTTAGCCGATACTTTTATTAAAATGAGATATCCGTTTGACAGTGAGAAAGCACAGAAATTGAATATACAAATATTTGAAACAATTTATTATAGTTCATTACAAGCAAGTTGTGAACTAGCAAAAGAAAAAGGTCCTTATTCAACATATGAAGGATCTCCTGTGTCAAAAGGAGTAAGAAACTTTTTAACTGTTAAAAATATATAAATATTTCAAGATTTAATTTTTCTCTTCTATAAGTTTGAAATTATTGTTTTTAAATTATGTGAACAGTTTATATTCACTTGTTGCTAATATTAAAATTTAATTATTTAGATTTTACAGTATGATATGTGGAATGTTACTCCAACTGATCTTTGGGATTGGACTGCTTTAAAGAAAGATATTGCAAAGTAAGTTGAAATTTAGCAAAGTTATTTCTTCTTTATATAAATGCTAGCTGAGATAACCAGCTTTGCTCAGGAAAGTAATATATTAAGTAAAGTATCAATTATAATAAGCATGGATTTGGCTTGCTTGAACAAATTTGCAACATGCAGTCAAATCTCCTCTGTTGACCACATCTGCAGAGTTTCCATCTCTTCAAAATGACCAATCTTACACAGTCCAGAATTTGTCCCATAGAAATTGAACTAAATGTGCCATAAAAAATAGTCTATATGCTGACTAAATGCATACTTTTGTTTCTGGAATTAGAACTGTTGCAAATGAAAAAGTTTTAAATTTATAATAAAAATTTGCTCTTAGCATTAGTACTGCAAAAAATTTGTTTACAGTTTTTTAATAAAACTAAACAAATTTACAAAGATAACTTTTCTTATATTATTATAATTATTAACAGTAAGAATTCTTCAAAGTCTGATCTGGACAAATGGTAATATGAAATATAATTATTATTATTATTGGCCTTTCAACAGTGGAGTAGTCAGATATGGTGCTACACCTTAGTAGTGGAGAATAAACGTGCAAAATTTTTAGAATAGTTTTCCACGCATTTTTTTATCATTACTATTTTGAAAAAAGATTTTGTAAACAGTTATGTCTAGTAAACAAAAGTCTTTTTTTATTGTTACATAATTTATTTTTTATGTGAATTTTTTTTTGCGGTAGTTTTAGGCTACTTTTTGGCGATACCCCCAAAAGAATTTGACACACATATTTTTCCCTCACCACTGCCACACGATCGCCCTTGACGAATATATTTATCACTCACTGCTGAGTGGTTAATATGATTAATTATATTTCATGATATTTAATGAATAAAAATTTAATTTGGTTTCCAGAATCAAGCATTTTTACTTTCCTGGTTGTTACATAAGAGGGAAAGTATGGCAATTGGTCAAAAAAAAAAAAAAAAAAATCCCCAAGGTTTTTAGATTTTTGGACTTAGGACACCTTGAAATGTTAAGAAATGCAAAAAAAATTTGGAGTTTGTGTTAATTTGTGTATGTATGGATGTTAATGTGTGTGGGCAAGATTTTGTTCATCTTATTTGAAGCTTAATAATTCTTGTGCTTTTTTGTCAAAAATTTTGAAATTTTGCAGGAAGGGTTGTTTATTAGAGGGATTGATGCTATTAAATTTTGGTGGGTTAAGATCAAGGGGCTGGGGAAATAATGGGGATCGTGTGTATCTCCAGTAGGGTCGGACAATTTTACTTGTTATTTGCATTTACAGTTTCTTATAAAACCCATCCCTACCCTCAAAATTAAGCTTTTTGCCATTTTATATAGTTATAATAGTTATAAAAAGTTTGTTAATAAAATATGATATTTTTAACAGATAGTACCACTAAAATTTTAAATGTTGCCAAACCAATAGTTTGATTTTATCAATTGGCATCACGTGTTCAGTATTCAAAAAATAATGGTGGCCAATAGAAGTTGCAGCTAATAATCTTTCTTCATAGTTCTAAATCAGATTTACTGTATAAACAAAATTTGCAATGATAATTTCAAAATTTTATTTTCTAACTTTGAAAAATTACAGCAAGTATCAATGAAATTGTACTGCAAATGCATCACTTCATTATTTTCTCCTAGGAATGTATTGCTTGATGTAATTGACTCATTTTGAGATAAAATGTGATTATTCTGAACTTTCTCATTTCCATTTTCCCATACATTATAATTATACAGTTCACATACTTGTAAAATTAATTTGAAATTAGTTACATTTATATATATTTACTTTTGTGTAAATCTTAAAATTTAGTTAAGAAAACACCAAAATATAACAAACAAAAAATCCAATTTTACAAATCAAAAGACATTCTATGGACTGTCTGATGGCTAAAAATGGCAGTTGTCATATGTTTAGTAATGCATACAGTTTGCTGAAATAACAGGCTGACCAGCTTTAACTGATGTCCATTTTTGCCTGTTAATGACCAAAATATTAGCTATTGTATTTGAGTTTCATCATTCACTTAATACTTCACTCAATTGAATGATTTTCAAATGGAAAATAACATTATCTGCTTCTTAGAACTATTTTGAATACTGTAGTACATTGAATTCACATTTGTCTCGCTGTCTATGTTATATATATTAAAAGTTACTATATGAATTTATATTTCAGGTATGGTGTAAGAAATAGTTTGCTCGTTTCACCAATGCCCACTGCTTCTACTGCACAAATTCTTGGTAATAATGAATCGATAGAACCTTACACAAGTAATATTTATGTAAGAAGAGTTTTATCGGGGGAATTTCAGGTACAAATTTTGATTTATTGGCCTTTGTTAAAGAAAGTAAAAAGTTTTATATTCAGTTTTTATTTTAGGTTGTGAATCATCATTTAATGAATGATCTAACTAATTTGGGTATATGGAATGAAGATTTAAAGAATAAAATAATTGCTTGTAATGGTTCTATTCAGGTATTTTTGTTATTTCAAATTCTATACGTGCATATATAACATTTTATTATTTATATACAGTCAAACTCAATTATAACGAGCATTAGGGGACCGACAAGATTTCATCATTATAACTGTTACTTGTTACATCCATGAAGAGCTGTGTCATAACTAGGGGAGAACAGACTGCTACCTTTGGCACAGACATATAGGGTGCCCTGTGGGCAGCTAAATTACTGATAATTAGTGAAATCTATTTTTTAATTTTTAATTGTAAATAAATTCATTCAAAAAAAAAATATGTAATTACATTATACTGTATTTTTATTAATAGTTATATAACTACAATATAATTGATTTATTTTCTCATAATTAAAGATAATACTAACTGAAAATTGGACATAGTATTAATTAGTCTTTTTATCTGCAAATCTTAAGATTGATGATTGTCATCTTTGACAATATTGACATAAAAAAATAAGTAAGGAAAATTTTCTAACTCATGAATAGTTTCTACTTTTTCTTAAATTAAGAGACATTTACTTTTCTTCATAGACTCATGTAAGGGTTTATTTCTACAAGTATATTGTTAAGAGTAGTAAGGGTTTGTTTCTTTTTACCTAACTACAGTATATGGTAATTTTACAATTGTAATGATTAGGTAGATTGGCAGAATAGGGCTGGAAGCTAGTCAAGAAACAAACAGACAGTTTCCATAAAGAAAGTTAAGTGATAGATAGGCCTGCAACGATGCAGGTTGTAAAACAAATTATCCAATGATCATAAAACTATGTAATGCTTTCAATTTTATCTATTCCAAGAATTTGGTATTGCATTTTAATTAAGAATGTTCACATATTTGCATAGCTACTGAAAATTTGGTCTGTATATCTATGAAGTACGCTCATTATAACTGAGAAAATGTGCGGAAACACATGTAAATTAAAGTGGCATTTTGCTCGTTAGAACCGGAAACTCGTTACATTTGTGTGAATTATAACAGAGTTTGACTGTATTTTGTCGTCTTTGATTTGTTTTGTTAATGATTTAATATTTTCAGAAAATAGATGGTATTTCTGATGAATTAAAAAAACTGTATAGAACTGTTTGGGAAATACCTCAAAAATCCATTATTAAGATGGCTGCAGACAGGGGGGCTTTCATTGATCAAAGTCAGTCTTTAAACATTCATATTGCAGAACCAAATTATGGAAAGTTAACAAGTATGCATTTTTATGGATGGCAGATGGTAAGAGAATTTAATGATATAAGTAATATAGTTTAAGTCTTTTAGTAAATATAATAAACAGTAATCTCTCTGTCTCTAATATTACAAGAAAAAATTTAGCTCTATTCAGATTAATTTTTGTGTATATTTGTTATAACTTTGCTCCATTGACAGCCAGATGACCGAGCAGTCAAGGTGGCAGCCTACTGCTCTGGGTGGGCCCGGGATTGAATCCAGACGGGTCAAAAAAATCCCCAGAAACTTTTGAGGGGTGGTCCACCTGGCCAAACCTATAAAGGGCTTGCTTAAAGGGGCCCTCTTAATGCCCACAGAGCAGAGTTAAAAAAAAAAAAA